GGGGTTGCGCCGCCTCATGGCGCTTCCCAAACCCCAACCTCCCTCCCCACTGGCCGCCATGCGGCCGCAAAGTCGCGAGGCCGTGCGGACACGTCCGCGGGGTCGCGGCCTAGGCCGCGGCCGCTAACTTGTCCGCGGATGGCCGCCGCCGAGGGGGATTCGTAGGTCGTAGGGGACCTCAGGATGTACAGGTGGTGCACCCGGCTAGAGCGGCGAAGGGACGATGCAACCGCGGCTGTCTCGACGGTCCGCGAGATTATTTCGCGTCGTCCCCAAGTTGTCTCTAAACTTTTTGTTTAACTCCTGCGTGACGTGGCCGGGAGGGCTCCCCCTTCTTCGCGAGAAAAGGCGGGGGTCGATGCGCTCGACATCATCTCTAAGTTGTCTCTTGGGTTTTCTTAACTCCTATGTGACATGGTCGGGAGGGCTCTCGCCTTTTGTGAAAAAGGTGGGAGCCGATGCGCTCGACAATGCCCCCTACCCTTCAACTTTCACATTGAGCTAGCTGTCTCTTTTTTTTGCCTCAGCTAGCTCAACGAGATGACTTTTGTTTTCTTTGTACGAATGGTTTTTTTTTTCTTGGTATTGTCATTATTGCGGCGTCAGACTATTTCCGAAATCCGTTATCCACGGGGGCATGGTGTTCCCTATTGTTGCCATGACGCAGGGTGGGAATTTTCGGCTTGGGGTACTCGTCTGCATGGGACCTCGTTTGTGCCAATGTTTATGCTTCTCAGTGCCTCGCAGTGCAAAGGCCGAAGAGGAGTTGAGGTGCTGAGGCGTTTGGGAACAGTTGGGCGCATACAAAGCAGAAAGCATACATCAGAGGCTACAAATTTCCTCTGCAGGCCTTGAATGTGAGGATGAGTCACCCGAAAAAAAAATGAAAAGAAAAATAAAGACATGCACGAATCTCCAATTAAAAAAAAGCATTATCCTATTTCTTTTTAATTAAAAAATGCCTTTTTGGACATCCCCTATGGAATGTTACACACAAGCTTCGTTTTTTTTTTTTCTTCTCTCAATTCCACCTCACACTACCTACCTACCACTACTCCTAATTGTGGGCGTATGGGGAACCCCGTAGCAGCCAGAACCGTGTTCACGAGAGAACATGCGGAGGCTGCTCGACCTGCAGGTGGGCGATACGGGCTAGGGGACAGCCGGTAGCATCAGGAACCATGGCAACAGGACCAACAGGACCAATCCCTGTGCCTCCCCTCAGGTCCCCTCCCCTACGAACATCAGCAGACTCTGCTCAATGCCGATCGGGGGATCCAGTGGTCTATCTCTAGGTGGCGGGCGCCAAGCATGCCCAGTAAGGAAGCTTCTTTTTTGGGAAAACTAGGGCGCTGTCACGGTTTCAGTTAGAAAATGTGTTTTCCGAAGAATATCGTGAATGTATACAACCAGCTTTAGGGCCGGGTGGGGATGTGTTGTATTCGAGGGATTCCTGAAGGGGATTTAAAACAGGACTGCACCCTAGTTACCCCTTCTTTTTTTATGTTACAGAGGAGCTTTGCATGGTCCTTGAGCAAGAATGACACAGGCCATTCGACAAGTGCAATCACTCACACAGTAGACATACCGAGACAATGGTCCCGGCAATCCATATCATATATATTACTATTTCTTTAGTGTATCAGGTCCGCTGGATCCGTTTACCAGCAGTTGTGGCTCCCCACCGATAGACTGAAGCAACTGGAAGCCGGCTTACAAGAGGAAGGGCCTACCCTGAGGCACTAAAGTTCAAGGGTGGGGATTGGACAACGGGCAGGTTGAGCTGGCCTACATACAGGGATCCGGAACATGGTGATAGGATTGATAGCAAAGAATGAGACAACGGAGACATGCTGGGCGAATGTAAGATAAACAGAACACTATGTGACAATCATGATCCGATCCAACCAATCCTGACAGCACATATGGGACCAGAGCATACTATCACCCACAGTGAAACTTAATGTAGACAGCCAACAACACCAGAGATAGGAAGACAAAAGACAAATGTAGACTATGGGCGTCGTTAGACACTCCTTGGGGACGCGAAATCCACAAGGAAGTGCTCGTTCCACCTATCCTCGGGGATGATTCTCGAAAAAAAATGTGAAAACTCCACAAGGACATTTCCTTGTGGCGTCCTTGTGGCCACAGCCAATTCTTCTTTAGCCCCAAGGGACCTCCCGAGGTCCCTCGGAGCACAAGGAAGCGTGAACTCCGGAGCGACGAAGGCATGCGTCGACGCGAATTTTCTTTTGGAGGGTGGTCCAAACGTGGTCCGCCGACCGGGAACACGGACATCCCAGCCCCCCACCATGTGGCTAGCCCCCCCAACGGCTCCAAACGGTCACGGTCCCCGTGAGACTGCCGTCGAACGGGTCCGACGTCGACCGCCGGTGGAGTGCGGTCTGCTGCGCTGGGAGCCTGAAACAATCGGCCACCCGATAAAGACGCTCGTACGAGATGAAACCTTCGTCGATGGTAGCACCCATCTAGATCACTGCGCGGAATGCATGCGCGATGCATATCATAGTGGACTCCTGGTACGCCGCCATGTCGTCGTCGTCAGGCCTATCGTCAACGTGTGCACCGACGAACCACAGCGGCAAGTCCATGCCCAAGTCTATCGTGTGCGCGCAAACCGCGGCGCTGACGGCGTTACGCCACTCCTCGTCGCACCACATAACACGCGCAAGGTCCATGGAGAAGGATTCCAGCGTGTACTGGATTCTGGAAGGCGAGATGGTAACCCCTCGGGCGGGTTCCGGACTTGAACACCCAACCGTGCAAGATGCGCATAACAACGTTCTCCAAAGTCGTCGCGCGTTTCGTGGCTTGCTGCAGTTGTGACTGGTCGGAGATCCGCGCCACCTTCGCGCTTGATTTCGGCATGACGACGCTCCGAGGGACGGTAGGCGCTGGTAGCCCGCTGGCGATGGCCACGAAATACTCGCGAGTTTCGTGGACGATGTTGTACAGTCTTCTCCCCTCCCCCGTCGTCCAGAAGGTTGTGTCGTCAACCCACAGCAGGGCACGCTCCAAAAGATCCTTCGTCACCACTCCCCGACGATGACAACTTGAAGCGGGGTCATCACCCTCCCGACCAGGATTCTTCTCGCCAGGCGTGCCCCCCCCAGCAGCACTTGCTGCCTCCGCCCCCGCTGCACCCCGGGCGGCGACGACTGCACCAGCGGCAACGCGTTGGGCGGACCCTACTTCATTGTCCGGGCGAGGCTGACGTGGCGTAGTCGGCATGCCTGGGGTGCTTGCAACCGCCGTGCGCAGGCGACGTTTCTCCAACGGTTCATCATCCGACGGATCGACCACATCGACGACCGTGACCTTCTCTGTCCGCGTGTCGCGGCCTTGCACTCGCAACGCGTGGGCGGCGGGGTGGTCATCCCCTTCGAAGCGCTATGATCGGACGACCGTTGCCGACCACTCTCCCGCACTGCAGACGCCGTTCCCTCGGAGCGTTCTTCCCCGGATGCATACTCGTTGTCATCGTCCCGTTGGGCTGCTGCCACCCAACCTTGCGCGATCCGGCTTGGAGCGCTTCTTGAAGCTTCCTCCGGACACAGTCTCTTCCCCTTGGGGACATGCCGCCCCCTCTTCAACTACCCTTCGCCGTCTTCAGGAAGGGCGTCGCGTTTCTTGCCACGGGTGTTCCCTCGCATAGACATGATGATGTGGCGGACCAATCGGATTCGCTGGAAGTGACTCGTCGATCGCCGAATGAAGTCCCGCCGACGACGCTGAAGTAGGACCAGGAGCCCGGCGAGAGTGCTCCGCGCTAAGAAGAAGACCGCCGTGCGCCTGGCGAGAACAAGAGTAGACCACGTGTCAAGAAGGCTGATCGCCACGTCACTGATGTCCACGCGGCGAGAAGAGTAGAAGAGCGACGATGGTGGTGGTCAAAGGCGCCGAAGATGTCCGCTGGGAGCATGCGATGATAATCCGCGGCGAGGTGCCAAAGGCTTCTTCAACTTCGCGCGGCGGGCATCTGCACTGGTTACTGCACAGGCGGGCGACATTTATGCGGGTTGGCAAGCGTTGCACTGGCCCATATTGACCGCCCACCACGTCGCTTCTCTGGGCCGGGAGACGACAGCTTCGACGGCGACACGTGCGGCAGCCCTTCCCGTTCTGGCATGTCATTAACATCATCTAAAAACAGCGGGGAGGCTCTTATGACTCCCTGCCGACGGTGTGATTCACTCGCGAGGGAGC